TAGAAAACATGGATATAGGAGGGTATACCTAGTGTTCTGACTGGATTTGTAGTCTTTATTACTAGCAGAGGCTGTTGGCAACTCTTCTTTCATTGTAAATATAAGGGAAAACTAATATGGGTATCAAAATTCAGGTGTTTATTCACCTAGCTTTGAGCAAGTTAACTTGAATGTTTGGGAATGTATGCCAGGAGAACTACATGCACCTAAGCAGGGCTTTGCAATTTTGCAGCAGTTTGCACACATGCTATGACCTGAGCTTTTTTCCTTTCACAGAATGACTGCTGATGTGCACTCTGTCATACAGTACTTCAATGGGACATGCACACTGCTGGCCTCTTGTCACTCAGCTCCAGACAGCAGGTCTTCTGAAGACAGTTTTCTGTTGCAGCTGAAACCATGTAAGCAGAATATTCTTGTTTACAAAGATAATTCTCTTCCTCTCCAAGAATGCTATTTTTTTTTTTTTTTTTTTTGCTCTTAGAGAAAACTGCTTTGTCACCAACATGCCCCCTTCCTTCCCCTTAGCTTCTGTCTTTAAGCATGTGTATTCTGCAGTAACCTCAGCACAAGCAAATGTACAGAGCTAGGCTTCAACAACCTCTATCATGCACTGGCAGCACCAGAATGGAGAATAATGAGGGCACAGGTGTCAACAAACTGGTAAGTACTCTCCTGGACATTCTGCACCATGCCCAGCTCTCTACAGATTGGCTACTGGGAGCTGTTCGGTGCAGTTTGGATCTGTCTGTCTGAATTGCAATCACTGCAGGGTAGATGAATCCCTCAGATCTTCCATCTAGCTGCCTTGGTCCTTTTAGCTATGTCAGCCATGGGCTTGTAACTCTGGGAAATTTTTATTGCAAGTTGCTTATCTGTGACCATATGGGCAAAAAAGGTGAATCAGACATTAAGCATACACACCTTGTAAAGCTGTTCCATCCATCAGAAAAGGCACTGCTGTCCATGAAGTGCACCACCCACTTGGTCTGACTGATATTACTTAACTGGATAGTTTCTTCTGAATGTTCATTTATTTATCACACTTAATACAGACCAAATTACCACCTTCTACCATAAAAATAATTGCTTTGCACCTTCATTTTCTTTTGCAAACATTTTATTTCATCTCTTCACCCTTTGGGCAAAACTTCAATTTTATGTCATTAAGACATTAGAGTTGAAAATGTTACATTCTGTCATTACACAACACATTGAGGCTTACGCCTGATGCTGATCAGGTTGATGAAGCTTAAAGCTAAGATGAATCCTGACTATTTTTGTTATCACCCTGAATGCCATTAGCTTAATAACATCCAGGCCTTTAAGTCATTCGTTACATAAGGCATTGCAATTATTTCCTATAAATTAAAGTAAACCATGTAATACTGTTCTCACCTCTTCTTTTGCTAGTGGCATAAACCTAATGTGAAGGTCTTTTGGAAATATATTCTTTTCTTCAAAAAGCAATTTTTAAAATGAGGAAGGCACAGATTGTTGTGTAAAATTTGCATGATTAGGAAAATGCATTAGGTACAATGTAACTTGAAAAAAAGTCTGCTAAACTTGAGCTTCAGGCTTGAAATTGACATGGTAGTTTACTCTCCAACACCAGCAAATGAGAAATGAGAAGGCATTATTTTTATCATTTGGTGGAAAACTTTCTTGTATTGCAAAAATATAGCTGTTTTATCCGGTGAATAATTTTAGCAGTCACATTCCTAATTTATGAGCATTCATTAGCCTATGTAGATACACAGAACTGTAGTAATCAAAAGCATACAGCAGGTGGTAATTCAGCATGGTAAGTCTACAGAGAAGTACAGCTTGCTCTTTTTTTCATCTTTTTCTCACCTCTTTGCCATCCTGTTGCATATTGTATACTTCTAAATGTTTACTCATCACCAATGCTCAGAAGCAGCTGTGCTGCTGGGTGCTTGCTCCAACTCACAACCCCCAGCAGCTCTCATTAATGAGACTGCAGGAGCTGATCTGCAACAAGTCCCCAAGATACAACGTCTGCCTCATTAAGAAAAGAGCTGCCCAGCTGTCTGATCATTGCTTAATAATTCATTCTTCTTGAGGATTTTTCCACAAATGAAAACAGTTGTGATTCTTACACTTAATTTACAATCTCTTCCCCTCTGCTGAGCTACTGCGTAATACTGCTGTGCGTGGTGCAAAGCCCTGCAGCAGAGGAAGAGCTGAGAGGGCAAGTGGAGTTCCATGATACAGTCAGTGTTGGTTGCTGCCCATGTCCATTCTCCTGCAAAGCCACCAAGAAACCACAACTGTCTCTTAAGAGGAAACCGTGCTTATCATGGCTGTCCAGACCTGTGGTCAAAGGACATCAAGGACGAGGATTTCCTGGACTCTCAGCCAGTGGACAGCCCATCACCAGTGCTCACTGACAGTTCAGAGACATCTTTTTGCCCTTTGAGGACAGCAGCACAGTGGGGACTCCTCCTTGAGAAACGGATGCTTGTGATCCAGATGTGCTAACCCAGAAACAAGACTGCAAACAGACGGTGAGGAGGAAAGAAGAGATGGGCGTTCAGTGTTCATGACAATTTCTTGTGAGGACTTTTTCTTCCCATTATAAGAGTGGCTAGGGAGGCTGAGGGTTGAATTACTTATATCCACAATTTTATTTTTTTGTCTGTGTGGGAAGCACATTAGTGATATTTGCATATTTCAGTATTTTCATAACCTGACCACTTACAAGAGATGCATGAATACTTTGCATGTGGATTAAGTCTGGTGAGTATTTCTCCAGCCCTAATGGGGCAAGGGGGCACAGTTTATAATACGAATGGCAAAGCCCACAAACATGCATACTGTGTGCAAAGGGTACAGACAGGAGGTTGCTTGGTGCCAAATCAAGGGCAAGCATTGTAGCATTGTCCTTTTATCTTCTGTTAGCATCTTCATTGTGCTGTAAGTAATCAACATCCCCTCTATCCACGGACCACTGCCTGACCACCTGAGCCTGTAGAGACCACCAGAGGGAATTAAGTGTTTGTGCCTTCTTGTCTCAGTAGGTGCTTCCCTGGCACCCTGAAAAAGTACTGATCTCTGGCCAGGAAGGAAGCCACAGATACCAAGGAGAGTGCTGGCCCTGTCTCTCAGTGAAGGTGCCAGCCCTGCTGCCCCTAAAGGCCTGCCAGGAGCCAGCCCCTGCAAAGCACAGAGCCTGTGTCAGAGCAGTGCCTGCCCTGCCTCACCCCATGTGGGAGATGCTGTTTGGCAGAAGCTTTTTGTGAAGAGGGAGATGTCTTTTTTTAGAAGGCAGGTTGTCTTTTTTTCTTTTCATCTGAAGGACAGTTTAAAAAAGTGTTGGATATTAAGCTTGACTGTGAAGAACAAAATGGGGTGAACCCTTTTTGGTTGAGTTCTGGTTTGCATTGAACCTAATGCTTTGGTACATTTCTGTGCTTTTTCTGAGGAAAATGAGCTGCTGAATGATATTGTCTGACACGCTGAGGATCACATGTTCTGGCAGGAGCTTGTGCCAGCAGTGTGAGAGGTGACGAGTCTCCTGAAGCTGTGTTTTGCTCACAAGGTGCCAAAACAAATGAAGTTCTGTTCATTTGTTCAAGTTCAAAAACAAACAGTTTTTGGGTTCATGAGCTTTGTATGGCATAGACAAGTCGAACACAATGCTGGTGCTGAAGGCATTTGTGGCATAGCTGTCAATATCCTTCTTATAAATCTTTTAATCTTCAAATACAGTTGAATTTTACCCTTGAAGAAAAAGGCTACAAAGACAGTCTTTGAAACAAGTGCCCTCAGTACCTGTAGAGTAGATGTACATGGGCAATTGCAAGCAATATACACTTTCCCTAACCCACAACATTAGTAGGCTCTAACGAGGTCTGGAGCTGTATGTGAAGTTTAATCTTCAGGTCCATTTATCTTAGGGCTGAGTGTGCTGACTGTCTGCAAGTCAGCAGGCTGGGGCCAATGTGCTGGTGCTTTCAGATACGTGGATAATAGTCAAGAGTAGGACTGAGACCAGCTATTTTTGTACAACACAGGCTGCCAAACAGCTTTTGATTTCCAATTCAGTACTGAAGGGCTTCTAATATCTCTGCTATTATTTGAGCAACCGACAAAATTGCAAAGGTGGTAGATGAGTTGAATGCAGAATCCTGCCCTGCTGGGCCTAGGGGAAACCTGATTAAATTAATCGGGAATCAATTGAAAACAGAAGTACTTCTTTAGCAGTCAGTAGTGAGCTTTGGGAACTGGTGGCCATGTAGTGTTGTGGGAGCTGACAGTCTCAGCAGATTCAGGAGGGATTAGACAGATTCAAGGACAACAAGTCCATTAAAAGGAGAAGGCAGGGATGTGCCCTCTGTGGTGTCTGCCACATCAGATACACAGCTGTGGGTGCTGAGGTGTACGAGGGGATGAGACTGCAGAAATCAGCCCAGCTTGCTAACTGAAAGCAATACAATCAACAAGAACCAAGTTTCTTTTTCAGTCCTGGGTCTGATCCTTGCGGTAAACCCACTAGTGCCCTCCAGTACAAACAGTACTAGTTCACTGCAAATCTCCCGAGCCAAGCACTCCCTCCTCCCCGTCTGCCGTGCTAACGTATACAGTGTAATGCCATATTGCAGCCATTCATGTTACAATGCAGAATCCTAAGGGAGCCAAATGAACAAGTCTTGCATAGGATATAGAAAAAGATGGAGACTGTGGAATTTAAATGCTAACAAAACAATGTACAAGTGGGAAACGCAAATATGTCCAATCCACAGCTCATTAAGGATAAGTCACACATAATGCAGAAGTTATGGCAATTTCACACTTTCTTGGATTTTGGAGGCTGAAAAGTAAAACATCATCTGCCCCTTGCATTTCCTCTTTCCCAGAAAATTAGGAAGTAAGCCAGCATGCTAATTTTTATGTATAAAACAAAATAAAGCAGACAATTTTTTTAAAGCAGTTACTCTTGAGGCCACCCAACAGTAGTGTTTCTAAAGCAGTCCTACCTTTGTTTTCCAACTTGAGCTCCTCTGCTAGCAAGCTGTCTTGTCTGTTGCCAAGCACAAATGCCAGAAATGAGAGGATCAGGGCATCCAAGATTCCAATAATAGCCAGGATATAAGCCCAGCGGACTGAACAAGCCCCCAGCGTGTACTTGTCTGTCTTTTCACCACACATCCGTTTTACCTCATCTGAATCCCAGCCATCAGGAAAAATCATACAACCCAGGACGAGACAGGCAGCTTGGAGAAAAAAAAGAAAAGGAGAACAATGGGATAATGAGACCAAACTTCATTTTGATGAGAACCTCACAGTTATCATTAAAGCAACACACTTTTTCATCCTGAGCTTCAAAGCTAGCTTACTTAAAAACAAGTCACACAATTATATGCTGTGATTAAGTATTTAGTGTAAAGCCCTATGATATAACACCAACTCGTCGCCTTGCTTAAAAAAAACATTACATCCCAAATCCCTAGCCAAATTTTGTACCAGCACAATCACCTTTTTGCTGTGAGACTGATTTTTTTTTGCTATAAAAGGCTCACGCAAAACAAAAATGAAAATGATTCTTAAGCTGAATATTCAAAGAAAACACTGGATTACCACCAAATGGTCAGGCAAACAAGACAGAGAATAATAGAGTAGAAATCCTACCTCTCATTCCAGGCCATCTAAGACCTTGTAATACACGTAGGCTACAGTAAGGTTTTTATTTATATTTTACTTTTTTGGTAAGTTGGCAGTACCATTTTAACTGAAATATGTTTTATTCATAAGGTTTGCACTCCTCAAAAACACAAGTAATGACATTGTTCTGCAAGGAAAAATAAGCTGTCAACATTGCTGCCAACTTCTGAACTGGCTTACCTGAGGAATCAACACATGACATCTTGAACATGAAAAAGTGCTGATCCTTTTAACACCGAGAAAAAATATAAGAAGCTTCTGCCCTCGTGGAAAGCTGGCTGACATCAAATACCAGCCACTTTGGTAGGGTCAACTGAACCATGCAGGGGACGGGAGCAAAGGATGTGTGACCAGGTACTCTTTTTTCAGCCTGGGTGACCACTAAACAGCTGACCTTAATTTTTAAAACGCAGAAATTTGCTTTCATCCTTGGTTCCTGGGGGAACTGCCCTGCTGGGGGCCAAGGTGGCTGTTGCAGAGCAGACAAAATGGCATGATGGGCTTGTTTTATTCAGAAACAATGAGCTCCTGAAGCAGTGCTGCTATTGCCTGCTGGCCAGCAGCTGCTGGGACATCCCTTGCCTGGCTGGTGCCAAGGTTAGGGCTGGGCTAGCAGGGCCTCCTCTGCCCAGTCCCACTTTGGGCAACAGACCTCATGCACAGCCCCAGTGGGCTCTGGAGCATGTCACAGCCCCTGCCTCAGTGTTTTCTGAACATAAAACCCGGTTTCCTTCTAGCACAAGGGAGCCACATTTCCTAACAGTGTAATGCACTCGAATGGTGCACAAATACATCCCGCTTCCTTAGTATGGCTGATGAGATATGATGGGTCCTAAACCATCTTTTGTAAGTCTTATCGTTACACTGTTGTGCTGTGCGTCATTGTTGCATGCACACATATGTACACATTTGTTAACGTGGCACACACTTGCAGATACATAGGCTAATAGAAAATAGCACATTGTGTCTTTTGACCTTTTGAATAGTTGTTGAACCAGCCCCCATGTCTGAAAACCATAGATTACACAAGTGGGTTGTACAACGCATGGCTGCTGTGGTTTAGGGAACAAGAATAGGCAGTCATTTCACACACCTCTCACACCCTCAAAGCAAAAATACATCTGCACTGTATGGTGTGATGAAATACTGTAACAGAATCTCAGAGCGGCTGCGGCTGGCAGTGCCCTCTGTGTCCCTCTGCCCAACCGCTGCCCCAGCAGGGACAGCCAGAGCACGGTGCCCATGGCCACGGCCTGGTGGCTTCTGGAGATCTCCAAGGAGGAGATCCACAGCCATCAGAAAACTGTGCCAGTGCTCAGCCACCTGCAGAACTGCAAAAAAAGGCTGTTATAGCTACACAACTGCTGTAGAAAAAGTCTCAAAAGAACATCTGTAGAAAGCATCTGATGTAGGATAAAACCTGTGTATAGTACACTTATGAAAATATAGCACCTCATTATAATTTCAAGGACAATTAGGCATAGGAACAAGGACAATTAGGTAGGGACTGATTTACTCAGCATATGCAGGTTAGACAAATTGTAAGCTGCCTATTGCCTTGCATTAACTCATTAACACGATTTCATAAGACCTTCCAAAGCTTTCTGAGACAAACAGTGCAATAATTTTCTTTCTTAAGCTGGCTATGCATAATTCCAAAGAGATGATTTCTTGCAGTCAACACATAGGAATTACTTCCCATTGTGGGGAACTTCTTTGAAATGATTCATAAAATTTTCAGACTTCTGACATTCATAAAGAGGCCTGCATTTACCCGCGTAACTGCAGAAAAATATTTACTATGGAGCAGCAACAATTTTTATTAATTGTCTTCAGAATGCAAAGCAGCTCGGTGCTCAGTTAATGACAGATAGATCATGGGATTTTTTCTGTTAATCATGTTAGAATGATTAAGAATTACTGACATCTCTTTTTTTTGTAATTACATGCCACATCAGACATACATTCTTAGCACTTCCTAAAAGTAATTCAACTTTGTTCATTTCCACTTACACAATTAAAAATATGGGCCCCAATCTCAGGAAGTCAGTATGCAGCCTCCCAGCTCAGTTCCTTAGGTTTCCAACAACTCATCTTTCCTCACTGCAGTTCCTGTGCATGTTGATATACTCTCTAAATTTCCTGTATTCATTCTGTTGGTTGAAGTTGGTTTTCTCTTGGCAATAAGAAATGTAGGTGAACAGTGTTTGGACTGGATCCCTTTGCATGAAGGGAGACATCAATGAGAGGATATTATTTTCTTCTTTGCCTATACAGTTTAGGTGCTTATACTAGGTGACTGCTTGGTCTGTACTTGAGATGCAGGAGTCATACCTCACATAGAGAGGTTAACCTCAAGTCTTCACTTGCTGAGGGAACATTTTGCACTGAATCCCTTAAGAATATGGACTTGCTCAATAATATGAAGCAGGTAATAATTCATCTATCAGCTACAAGAGCAAAAAGACAGGTATGAAATCCACCTACAGATCTACTTTGTATTGCAAGACATTTTTTTTCATTTTAATCCTTCAAAGGAGGATTAGAAGATTTTCTCTAGAAGGAAATTACTTTCAGCTTTATAAAAATTTGAGAAATGAAAACCATTTGATGTTGCAATTGCAGTTACACTGCTATGAGATGATTTTATAACACAAACACAGGTCCCATATCTTACTTTGTCTGAAATTCCACTGATCCAATGACAACACGACCAAAATAGAAATGTGAAAAAGGCAAAAGGATGCACTACTGCAGTTCTAACTGTTCCCCACTTCAAATACATTCAGAAACTTTCAGATTTGGAAAGCTTGCCTACTGAATGAAAAGACTTAAATCATTGACTCTTACAGGCTTTTTGATTCAAATAAGGAAAAAATTAAATCTGTATTTGTTGAAGATGGACGTCTGTGTGCAAGGTGGATGCATTCCAGCAGCACCTCCTTCCCCATCCTGTTGACAGACCTCTGTAGTGGCTCTGCAGCTAATCAGGGCTTGGATGAGAAGCAGCAGGGAGAAACTGATAACAGACTGATTAGTGTCACTGGCACTGTTGAGAACTATTTGGGCAATTGTAAAACTTACAAGAATAATATCCACCTTGTTTTCACTTGAGAAAGCTATTTGCAGGACTAGTACCTTTGTAGCAATGGCCCCAGACCTCCCCCAGTCCTTTCTCTAATTCTCTTACAAGGTGTGTACTAACAAATTGTTTCACCTGTGTATTGAAGGCTGGTGAAACTTTTCAATTAAAAAAAAAAAAAAAGCTAAATACTATGCAAGCGTGCCTGATGAACATTTATTACTCTTGGTAACAGCTTTTTTCCCATGTGAACCCCTAACATGGGTTTTCCTTTACAGGTCTGAGTGACAAGTGAAAGCATTCATATTAAGTGGGAGAGTCCAGAATTTTACCTCCTGGGATGTAATGATGCAGATATGACATTTTCAGAGATTGGAAACAGACCCTGAACTGTTTCTGGCAATGGCATACTTGTGACTCTGACCAAGCTAATATTATCACAGCCTGTGCTCTGTGTATGAGCTCAAATGGCAATTAGCAAGCAAGCAGTTCATGATCCTGTTGTTGTGCCAAAGACGGTGACAGATTAATATTATATTATTGCATGGAATGAGGTTCTATTTATAAAAAAGCTGACTGTTACACAGGAAATCAGTGCTAAGAGATTCCTGCTGGCACACTCCTCTCTCATATTCATTCTTTTCCTGACAACAGACCCAATTTGCTTGTATGTAGAGTATGAAGATGACAGATTTCCTGATAAAAGCATAAAGCAAGCCCTGGTATTGGAATTACACTAGCCAACCTAAACATTTTATTTCTATACCCACATATGAAAGAGCCTCCATGCTTCCAAAAACTGAAAATTTTTTCTTTTCAAATTTTTTTCTAAATGATATTTACAAACATAATTGCTCATCAAACTTCAATAAATTGAATAAATTGTTTCCCAGTCATGCTGGTTTGATGGAATGTAATGAAAGGTGAGGACGCCAGTGAAGAACATTTATTGGGACTGTGGACATTCTTCAGAGAGGTGCCATCTGGATCCCCATGGAGATGACATGGACTGTTAATTGGTGCCATGAGCAGACTGGAAGTTCTTCCTCTGGCAGCAGGGCAGTTTGGTGGTTCTTATATGGGGCTGCTAACCTCATGGTCACTGTTCAGAATGACACAGTCAGTAAGCAACTGACATGAAATTCAGGATAAGGTCAATGTTTTCAGAGAGTTCAACAGTAAAAGCGTTTGCTCTTCTCTGCCCTAGGTTTTCATGTTAGAGAAGGAAGCTGCTCCAGAATATCGACATAATTTAAATGACATGGACAAAAGGAGACCTTCCTAAAGGGGTCCAAGGATGGTCCCCTGGGTGAAGGAGCAAAGATTTGAGTATATAGAATAAAAATTGAGAATATTTTAATATTCCTTCAGAAACCACATGTATAAAGGAGACTTTAATTCCAGGAGACCAGACTAATTCTAATCTGAAGTAAGATGCTATTATGGCATAAACTGAAGCTTCAGCACTAA